TACTTTGTACATCTCGATCTAGAAATAAGTTAATTATTACCAAGACTTTTCTTACACAAAATCTTCTGATGCACTTTTCACCCATTTCGTAATAGAATGATATAGTAGTAAAACCAAAGGCACTTTACACCTCACAGAACAATTTAATCCAATAAATTGTTAGGGTTTTTTTTTTCTTCAGAAAAATTGGTCACGTATTGTGACATTCCAAAATATTATCTTGTTTGGAAATTGTTTCCCGTTCCTTTCTATTTGCAGAAAGTTTGTTGAACATTTTATTGATTTTCCAAAGCCATTAATTGCTGTAGTAAATGGACCAGCTGTTGGGATCTCTGTAACTCTGCTTGGGCTGTTTGACATCGTATATGCTAGTGACAGGGTAAGTTTTCACCCTGAATCCTGTCCCTAACATTAGATTATTGTGAGACATTTGTTGGAATAGCGTTTATTTGTTCAGGATACAAAGTTCCTACTTGGAGAACAAAGGTATGGCATAGTGAGATCCTAGATATGGTTTTTTTCCCCCCATAAAACTGAATTATGTATTTTTTTTACTGAAAATTGTCATACTGGAATGCAGGAATATAGACCGATAGGCATGGAATTAAAAAAGAAAACTCAAACTCCTGCATCTGAACCTCCTGGATCTTGCATTGTATTATTACTTAGTCTAAGGGTGCCTTTTCAGTACTGTTTTAGTTTGCCTGTTGCCGAGGTCCCCTAATCCTTCCTGTTGATAAGTTGTCTTAAGTTTCCTACTCATCCAGGTACCTCTCTCACTGGCAGATCTCTGGCAGAACTTGAAAGACCTTCTCTCCTTCCATCTTCATGCAACCCTGTTTTTGATTTTCTTACTCTTTGTCTTATATACCTCATTTCTTAACACTGCCAGCTTGCAGAGGGATGGTTTTTTTTCTCCCTGCCTACATGGCAATTTCCTTGCCTCCACCATCTGGTTTCTCCGAAAAAAAAGAGTCTTTAACTTGGAAGAGTACACTCCTACAAAGAAAATTCCAGTTTTCATATGTGCACCTCATCCTGTAACACAAGGGAGCGTCACCATCAAATAATAACAGAGATGTAATGACCATCACACTATTTCTTTTTCATTTAAGCAGCGTTATATAACATCAATATTGTGGATAATTCTTGTTTAAAGAACATAATATTACTTTATTTGAGTAGAATTTTTACTTCAAGGGGCACTTTAAACCAATTTAGGGAAACTGCCAGTTTCCATTTGGAATAGCATGGCTCAAAGAAGATTTGACATATAATAGTCCATCCCTGAATCATTGAATCTTACACATCTCAGTATAAGAGTTGTGCCACTTGTACACAAAACCTGTAAATACAGCAATATCCAGTGCATATTAAAGTTACTCTTGTTGTAGATACCTATTGTACTGTAACTGGATCAGAGAAGTTCACAGCTAGAGCTAAGTGTTACAAGAATATTTATCATATCATTTGAAGATGACATGGCTATATTCTTTCTTCTAAGGAAAAATAAAGTCTCTACGATGACAATATTTCTTTCCCCCACAGGCTACATTTTTTACTCCTTTTAGCAACCTGGGTCAAAGTCCAGAAGGATGTTCTTCATACACATTTCCCAAAATAATGGGGGTAACTAAGGTAATGTGTACATTTTATCTGCTTGATGATTGAATTGGAGAAAATTTCTCTTAGATGTTGTTCAAGAAGAAATATTTGTTAAAAATGAAGAACAGGATGAGTTTATGTAATGATGGGCACTTATGTGCCATATGGGGCATGATCAGGACTGTATTTTAATAACATTTTAATATTCAGAACAGTTAAGTGACCAAAATATACTAAAGCTGTAATAATATCATGGGGAACTTCCTTACCACATAACAATCACATATTGATCAGTCATGTCCAAATGGCCTACCCCTGCTCTGCCTATCAAAGTCATGGGTATATGCCAGTGACTGAACCTTAAGATAGTTGATGAATGATATACCGAATGGTTCTTCTATTTCAGTGGTTCTCAACCTTTTTAATGCCGCGACCCCCCAACGGGTTGTAAGTCGAGGACTACTCAACCGGTCGTAAGTCGAGGACTACTCAACTGGTGCAGAATGGGACTTTTGGCGGGCTCAGCAGGGCAGAGACAGCTTGGACAATTCCTATTGGCTTTTGAAAGCCAATAGAATTAGACTCTATTCAAGAGAGTCTATTCTATTGGCTTTCAAAAGCCAATAGAATAAAAGGGAGTAGCACAGCTAAGGAAAAGGGGGGAAAAAAATGACAGACTGCGTTGTTTGGCGACCCCCGTGAAATGGTTGTTCGACCCCAAATGGGGTCCCGACCCACAGGTTGGGAACCACTGCTCTATTTGTTATGTGTAACAAATGCACTAGAATTAGTGGAAAGTCAGAATGAGCAGTTTCTTTTCTCATTTAATCAGGCCACTGAAATGCTGCTTTTCAACAAGAAGCTAACTGCTGCAGAAGCCTGTTCGCAGGGGCTTGTGACTGAGGTTTTTCCTGACAGTACATTCCAAAAAGAAGTGTGGGCAAGACTGAAGGCTTATGTGAATCTTCCCAAAAAGGTTAGTCAAAAAGCAACCGATCAGTATTTTATTAGTCTTTATGTCTATGCCAGGGCTTTTCAACCTTTTCATCCATTGTACCACTTTTAGGATATGGCAACATCCGAGTACCACCAGTCGCCTAGCAAGGTGTCAAAAACTTGATGACAAAAAAAAAAAGGAAAAAAGTGATAAAGTACAGGTAGTCCTTGACTTACAACAGTTTGCTTAGTGACTGTTTGACTGAACTGAAAAAAGTGCCCCCCCCCAAGTCACAGCCAAGCAAGATACCTGCCTGGCCGCCCAGTGGTGCTCTTCTTCCTGTCTGAGGTTTACACTGTTGTGAGCATTTCTGTTGAGGATTGGAAGTGGGGGTGGGGGTGTTTGGTTTTTATTCCCCCTGTCTGCTGGGTGGTTGCAGCAGGTTTTGGTCACTTCACATGACCCTGGGACACTGTGACCCTCATAAATATGAATCAGTTGCCAAGCATTTGAATGTAAATCACAAGACTCTGGAGATGCTGCAACATTCCAGCTGATCGGCACTTCTTCTGGGCTTAGCAGTAGCGCCAGGATCAGCGCCGAGCTCCAGCTGGAGCCTGGCGCTGATCCTGGTGCTTCCACTGAGCCCTGACAGCCCCAAAGAAGGGCTGATCCTGGCGCTTCCGCTGAGCCCTGACAGCCCTGCAGCTCCATCCATCTCTCGCTCAGGCTTGTGCAGTGCTGCCACCGGTTCAGCTCATTCCCCTCCCCCGCTGCCACTTTTCTAAGATGGTTACATATCACCTGCCAGGTGCCAGTGTACCACAGGTGGTACCTGTACCACTGGTTGAAAAGCCCTGGTCTATGCAACCTTATGAGTAAGAGCCCTGATGGTGCAGTGGTTAAATGCAGTATTGCAGGCAAATTCTGTCCACAACCTGGAGTTCGATCCTGATGGGGCTCAAGATTGACTCAGCCTTCCATTCTACCGAGGTCGGTAAACAGCTTATAAAATATCAACAGCCATAACTTAACCAGGGATACCAGCAAGGATGGAGCTGTAAGCAAACTTTTTTGTGCTAAACTTCTATTTTTCTCTTAATATTCCAATCCCATATTATTCCAACCAAGGTAAACCAGAAGCAGCAGGAACATGACAGGTTCCTGTGGCCATACTGGCTGAACTGGAAAGAATAAATGCCCCTAATCACAAAAGGACAAATTACAGGTAGTCCTCAACTCACAACTAGTCACTTAAAAAATGGTTAGTTACAACAAACCTTTCCAGAGCTACCCATGACCTGTTTTTGTAGCTGAGAGGGTCACAAACCTCCCATGGTCAAGACTGCATTTTAGGCACTTGACAATTGGCTCACTTTTATGACCATTTGCAGTGGTCCACAATCATATGATCATAATTTGCAATATTTTTTGCTGATTTCCGGCTTTTACTTCTGTTTTCTGGCATAAGATGCCCATTGGGGGAGTAGATTTGTTTAACAACTGTGGCCTCCATTTAATGACGATTGTAAAAAAAACAGTTGTAACTTCAAATCTGGTCACGTGATACCTCCATTTACAACCGCAATGACTTATGGCTGCAATTCCAGACTTAATTACAGTTGTAAGTCAAGGACTACCTGTAAGAACTTCAGAACAAATTGTATACTTGAAATGACACCACTTGAAACAAATGTTTTGTTCTTGGAGCCATGTGTGTTTTCTTTGGAATGTTGTAAGACTGGAATATTTCGTACATTCCTAATGCCATCATCCATTCACAGGAGGGAAAGTATAAGGAAGCCCAGAAGAAAGTTGCAAGATAATAAATAAACTAGAAAACGGGGGGAGGGGGGGAAGGAAAGGAATGTAAGGGTACTTCCTTAATCATCTCATTGAATCTGAATTAGCTTGGTACCCACAGAACATTGAAAAAGTTGTAGAGATCCAGCAACAAAATAGGAAAGAAATATAATAAATATAACAAAAATATTGCCCATTTATTTTGTTGCAAATCCTACTTGTGGATAAATATCTGAATTTGTATCCTTTCCCAGTCAGAAATTATTTTACTTACGCTATATCTCTCTGTTGTGGAACTCTATAAGGTATATAATAGTGACAGCTTGAAACTATCCATTTAACAAGCATCTGTGTCTGTTAACATTTTTTCAGACATAATCATGGCCTATGTCAGTGATGGCGAACCTTTTAGAGACTGAGTGCCCAAACTGCAACCCAAAACCCAATTATGCATCGTCAAGTGCTGGGTGGGTGTGGCCCTTTGGCTGGGTGTGGCCCATTGGGTGGGCATGGCTGGGGTGGTAACAGCAGACTGGGTGGGACTAAAAAGTTCAATCAATAAATTCCAACTTTGCAAGATTTTTTTTTCCCGCAAGAAGTTGAAATTGACTAATTGAACTTTTTTTTTTTTGCACACGGCGGCAGAGGCCTAAAGTGAAAAGGTTTTATAAAACCCAGCTGAAGGCCTAGGACTGGGGCGACGGTGCGCGTGCCCACAGAGAGGGCTCTGAGTGCCGCCTCTGGCACCAATGCCATAGGTTCGCCACCACTGGCCTATGTATCTTACCCTTGAAACAAACCATGAATTATATCCATGCTACAGTTCTATACAGCCCTATCTGGTTTAAATCTCTTAGAACCAATTATAACTTATTTCTAAGTATTTATAGAGAAAGACTGTATGTATGTGGAGGCAAAGAGAATTGCAATTAGAAATCTGTTGCATTTAAACCATAGTTATAGCTGCTTGACTCTTTATATGAAAGACTCTTTATGTTAAAGAATACAGATCTCATTAAAAAAAAAGCTTTTACAGCAGTTTTTGACACTAAACAAATGAGATTTTTTTTTTGTATTGTGGATGATTTTAACATATACTGAGAGAAATGAGTATTAGAGGCAGAAAGATATGGAATGACCAATTTTATTTGTCCTAATTACCTTCTTGCTGATTTTCACTTGTGTGTAGAGGGACAGCTGTTGACCATCTATAAACAGAAAGACAATTTCCACTATAATTTCTTCAGTAACATATGGATAAAATCTATCATGTAATCTGCTTCATTTATGAAACAATAACCAGGTTTGTCATTGTTAATGTATAATGCATGTAATTTTAAGTAAATTTGTGATCCAACCGTATTCTTGCCCTAGAAAGCTATGCAGCATAGAAATTTGGGAAATAAGCACCTAATTATTCCCTACATCCATCACTTGGGATTTTGGGGGGGTTTGGAAATCAGCTGAAGGGAAAATGGTTGAGCAGAGAGGAGACAGAAGGCAGGCCCTGACTTTGTGCTCTAGCTCTCTACTTAAATCAGGGGTTCTCAACCTTGGCAACTTTAAGACTTGTGGACTTCAACTCCCAGAATTCCTCAGCCAGCAAAGCTGGCTGAGGAATTCTGGGAGTTGAAGTCCACAAGTCTTAAAGTTGCCAAGGTTGAGAACCCCTGACTTAAATCCTCTCCTTGATCCTGGGTTAGCAAATGGGCTTGCTGTGGTCCATGTTAACCAGATGTTGTTTATTTCTTTACCTCTTCAGACTTTGGCAGTCTCCAAGCAGCTAATGCGAAACATGGAAAAAGAGAAGCTCTACGAAGTTAATTCTCAAGAATGTGAATGTCTCATCGAAAGATGGCTATCTGAAGAATGCATGAATGCTGTAATGAGCTTCATGCAGAAGAAATCAAAACTCTAGTCCCTACCCAATCATGCAAAATAAATTGCTGTAAGTTGCTTCTGTTCCCTTACTACAAAAATTGTCATTAAATGAATACCTTGGATATATATATATCCAGATGGTCCCTACATTCTGGCTAGAGCTTACCTTTTTTTCTCTTTTAGAATTTTGTATTTTGACATGAATTTATGATGCCAAATGCACTGGAGATGTCTGTTCGGGCCATTAGGCGGGAAAGCACTCACTGCTTTGCACGCAGAATGAATTTCTTTGAATGTGACAATGATTGTTTGTCTTCCACAAGGGATAAGAGATTCAATATCACCAAAATTTGCAAGCTCTTGAACAGCTGATTGATGATCATATTGAAATGTCATGGTCTTTGGTATCCATCTATTGTGGAGAAAGGAAAACAAAAAACAAAATAATGGCACTATCTGTATTAGAAAAAGATTATCAAATATTTGTTTTTCAAATGCATGCAACAAGGATTAATACTTTACAGATAATCCCCGAGTTACGAGCGTTCACTTAACGCTCGTTTGAAGTTGCGCGATAAGCGCCTCCTAGTATTTATGAGAAAATCCGAAAATTATAAATGTTGCAGCACCATGGCAGTTGTTCGCCCTTACAAATGACTGCAGAGGCTCTGCAACATTCATCCTATTCCCCCCCCCCCCGCTCCCCACAACTGCTTCCCCCTCTCCTCTCTGCCACGATTTCTGCCTTTGAAGGAGAGGTGAGTCAATGGAAGCTCCTGGATGCCATAATATTGCACGAGTTCAGGCACCCATCTTCTTTTGCAGAGAATAGGAGCCTGAACTCTTGCAAGATCATGGACCACAGAAACTCTCATTTTCGGCATAAACTCTGTGCTACTTCCCCCTCCCCCCCAAAAAAACTCCTTTCCTCCACCACCGGAACACTTTTTATCTGAACGGAGACCTTGAGGAGATGGGGAGCTCCATCTGTGTACAAATTGAATGCTTGAAAAAGCAGCGATTCGCTGCGTTTTCAAGCATTGCATTTGCTCACAAACTGAGCTCCCCATCTCCCCAAGATCTCCTTTCGGACAAAAGGTGTTTGAGTGCCTAGGGGACCCTTGGAAATGCAGCAGATCCCTGCGTTTTCAATAGCCCCATAGGCGCTGAAACACTTTTAATCTGAATGGAGACTTGACAGAGATTGGAAGCCCCGTGTGACTGCCAGTGGGGCACTTCAGAAACAGAGCGTCCTCTCTGTTTCTGAAGCGCCCCATTGGCAGTCACACAGAGCTTCCAATCTCTGTCAGGTCTCCGTTCAGATAAAAACTATTGTAGCGGCAGCAGCTTGGGTTTGTCAACTCCGTCCAAGTGGAAGAAAGCAGAGGCACAAAGCAGGATTGCTCTCAATAACATCAGCGGACATGAGTGAGCAGCATACCCACTTCCTGTTGAGAGCAATCCTGCTCTGCATCTCCGGTTTCTTTTGGACGGAGTGGAGAAACTCAAACCGCTGCTGCTGCTTGAGTTGGGAGGACGGCAAGGAGAAGAAGGGTTAGAATTGTACTACCGGCCGGTCAGGCAAGGAGTAGGTTGGGCAGGCTGGGTGGGGAGGGGAGATGGCCACTCAGGTGGCTGCCCCGCCACCACCTGTGGTTTGAGTTTCTCCACTCTGTCCAAGTGGAAGAAAGTGGAGGCACAGAGCAGGATTTCTCTCAATAAGTCGGGGCACGTGACTGAGCAGCGCACCCACGTCTTCTTGAGAGCAATCCTGCTCTGCACCTCCGGTTTCTTTCTTTCGGACAGAATGGAGAAACTCAAGCTGCTGCCGCCGCTTGAATTGAGAGAATGACAAGGAGAAAGCAGTTAGGATTGTGCTACCGGCTGGTCAGGCAAGGAGTAGGGCGGGCTGGGTGGGGAGGGAGGGGAAATCATGGCTGCTCATGTGGCTGCCCCCACCAGCAGCTTGGATGCAGGTGCAAGGGGACTCGCCCCACAATGCCTCCACACTCAGTTGAAGGCTTCATTCCTGCCCTCAAACTAAGGCCAGCACATATGAGCAAGCAGCTCACCCAGGCCATGGACAGTATTGGTTCCTGCATCCGGTTGACTCAGATTCCATGCTTTGCCCCATAGGCAAGCAAATACTCCGCCCCCCCCTCCCAGAATGGAAGTTTCTGGGGCCGTGATCTCTTTTGAACTCGCACGATATTACAGCACCCAGGAGTTTCCATTGTTAGCGCAAAAAGCATTTCCAAGCCATTGTCTCTCCCTCAAAGGGAAAGAAACCACAGCAGAGAGAATTTTTGTAAAATAAGTGAGTCTGGCGTGGCAGGAAGGGGGGGGGGAAGCACGAGGTATCTTGGTGGGCCGGGAAGGCCTTGGGAGTCTGTTCCATCACTAGGTCCTCCATGACCTTCCCCACCCTGAGATACCTCATGTGTGGTTAACGAACCACGCATTCGCCCACGCATTCAATTAGCGAATGCATGGGCGAAAGCAGGGAGTAATCTCATTCGAGGTACGAGATTCACTGCCACGAGTTACTAATGGAATGGGCAGGTTCCATTACATTCGTAACTCGAGGACTACCTGTACAACTTCATTATACTCTGATGTATTTTGCACAGTTTTTATGACATATTAGTATGTCATATGAATACGGTTTAAAAACAAATTATGGCTGGCACATATGCCATTCAGATTTTATTGCAGAGCCAAGAACATATCCCAGGTTTTTTCCATGGTGGCTTCTTTAACAGTAAAAACTGAAAATAACGTGAGAACAAAAGGCGCAAACAAGGTTGTCATTGGCTAAGAATAAGTATGGATGTATGATCGAGACTGAGATCACATGCAGAAAAAAGGAAGGAAGGACTCTTTCTACATGTAGTATTTTCCTGGTGAAAATTTGACTTATCCTGTTATGGTTTGCCTTACTCACTTCAATGCTTTAAGTCAAGTTTCTGGAAGATAGTGCTGCTTGGAACAAGAGGCAGCTCAACCTAACAGGCCATATTGTTGCTGATAGACCCACCATGTTAACAGTAAGGTAAATATTAAAGGGGCCACTACCAGGCGTGTTTCTTCCTGAAGTGCACAACCTTTCTTCCCCCAGTGCCTACAAAGTATTGTTATGAGCTGTAAAAAAAAGACTTGGAGGGCTGAGACTAAGATTCCAAGACAGACTGGTTCTGTGGGAAAGAGGAAGACTATTGGACAACTTCATTTTTTAATAGCCAGCATAATTGCAAAGCTCTTACATACAATTCTGTTTTACTAAAATGACCCATTAAAATAAACAACGGTATGTGACAGTATTCTTATTTTTGACCTGTTTGTATATATCTTAGTGATGTTATGATCCAAAATATTATCCATTCCCCATATCTACTACTGTTGTCATCATACCAATTCCCCAACCTATTCATCCTGCAAAGAAATGAAATTCTTTTTTTAGCTTTATCCGTTAACCATTTCTTCATCTTTCTTGGATTAGGCCTTGATGTTAATATAGGCATATCTGCTCAAGATATCATCAGTCACTATACTACTCATTAACTCTGTGAATTTAGGAAGAATCTGAAACGTCTATATCACTCAAAACCAAAAATGTTAGGAATTCTTCAGAGTTTTGTATTGTGATAAATCAACCATCAACAGACAAATAAAGCACCATTTAAAAGATAAAACCAAAAGTCAAGAAAAAAAAGTCAAATAACATTGTCCTTAACAACCAGCATCTGATTAAACAAAAAATAGCCCAGATAAACAATGAAAGAAGAAATAGTCCTTTAATCAAGGAAATTTCAAGGAAGAATCTATATTCCAACCAAGACTGGCAGGGCAAGCTACTACATGTAAACAGTCAGCAAACTTTATTTTTCTACGCCCTGATGCTGATACTTAGCTGGTAATGAACGCTGCAGAAAGACAGCCAATCATAGAGAAACACCACAGACACAACAGTTCAACACTAAGCTGTACATCAATATTCTCTACTCTTGTCATACTATATTTTGTAGAGGTTAGTAAATCCTGTTTCTCTAATATTGTTTGGTATTAGAAAATAAATTGTCTGTAGCAAAGTAATAGGGATTTGGAGTAACAGGTGAAAGAAGAAACTTAGAGAAAAAGAACAATAGAGACTGAATGGCGTATAGGAGATGCAATGATAAAAAGAATTGTTTATTTGTATCTTACCTTGCAATGATAGTTGCTAATGGCAAATCGTCTCTATACACTCCAAAAGCTCTAGGTTGATTGGCAATCTGGTTAGAAACCTTTCTTTTTGTTAGAGGCATATGATTTGGCGGTGGCGAACAATATGCCTCTTTAGGTATCAGATTCATCGAGAAATTGTCAAAGTAGGAAACCTTATAACCTGAAGAGAAGGGGAGAATTGTCTACAATTTAAAATACTCTGGTGGTTTGCTTATTATTGGCCTTTAAACTGTGCCTTTGTTGGTCTTGTTTGGAATAGCTGGGTCACCATTCGGCTGGATACAGTAACATGTTCTACGTGGGGCTGCCCTTTGGAGGCAATCCGAAAGCTACAGCTGGCACAGCACAGGAAGTTTAGCTGACTAAAGTGCTGGACATCAATCCTACCAGCACAGGGTAGCTTCTATTTGGAAATTACTATATTGCTTACCACTCAGCTTCCAAGTTCAATTCAAAATACTAGCCATCACTTTTAAGTCTTACAAAGCGCAACTCCAGCTACATCATTATTACATAATGTATTATATATATATATATATATATATATATATATATATATATATATATATATATATGAGATTAAAAAGGTTAAAAATATGAACCCTGGGAATATTCATAATGAAAATATAAAATGAGCACCAGGGTAATAAAAACTATAAAAGTTTTTAATAAATTAAAACTATAAAAGTTTTAAAAAGCGCCAAGCTTTCGCCGTCACCTGCCGGCATCCTCAGGGCTGGCGCGCCAGAGAATGAGAAGGTCTTTTATAGGCGTGTCAAGGTTTGCGCCCGGCTCCTTGATCTTGTTATCGGGCCTAATTGGTTCAGCCGTGTGCAATTAACTTGTACTTCTTTTCTCTTTTTGGTTGCATTTTTATCCTCATCCATCTCCAATTCTCCCAACTCCGGATTAGCCAGATGGCAATTCCAGTTATTTCGGTTGCCTTTATGTTCTGACCTCCCCTCAGGCTCAGGTAGTGCACATTCCACGTTCCTTTCTCCACCGTATCTTGTCCGGTTGTTACTTTTAGAATCGCATTCATTTCCGGTCTCAATACTTTCGTTTTTAATGTGTCCGTCATCCTGATGATCTCGTAAGTTGCTATGGGTCCGGTGCAGCGTGGGGGGGTATTCCGCAAGGTGGAGGGGTCGTCTCTTATTCATTGTCATGCCCAGCTGTCTTGCGTGTGTCCTACTCCGAGTACTCAGTCCAGGGTGTGTGTGTACAGCAATCAAGCCGCGCCCCTCCTGGTTGCAGCGCTCTTCCTCAGTTCTCCCCTTTTTTACGTTGTTAAAAGCATTCGCGTGTGTTCCATGGGAGTCCTCAGGATCGTCGGGTAGGGGGTGTGACGGCTCGATCTCCCGCACCCTGCCGCTCTCCGATATTCCCTCCTCCTCTATAACGGTGTGCGAGAGTTCATCGTCAACCACCTCCCGTGGTTTGTCCTCATTGGAGCTGATCGTTCCGGCTGCACGAGGGGGTCTTCTCCTCCTTTCCGGACCAACCGTGATGTTTCTTTTGATGTGTAGGCAGGCCGTTACGTTTGGCGGTTCACCCGCACTTCCACCTGCCGTATCTTCCCTCGTCTCCTCTTTGCTGTCAGGGGTCCGGACCTTGGTTCTTATCACCCCCCTGATCCTCTGGGATTGCAGCAGTCTCACGGGGGTGGTCGAGGTATCTCGCGATTGCTTTTCTTCCTCTGAATTGCACATGATTTGTTGGGTAGTTCGGGTGCTGCCCAAGTTGTTATTGGGCCATCGGGGGTGTTGCCGCTGATTATTGGCACTCCATGATCTTAAGGCCAAATAGGACGGACATAGGTCAATATGCCTGTTAATGGACTTGCTGTCCGAGAGCCATGCCTCTCTAAGAAGGCGGCCCCCTTTGGTACTATCATTTGCCAATACACTGACGCCACTAAAGTTAAACTTATGGCCCAGATCCACCGTGTGGGCCCATATTTGGGAGTGACAATCTCTCCTTCTCACTGCCAATTCGTGCTCATGGACCCTGGTCTTAATGCGTTTAGCAGTCTCCCCAATATAATTGCATTGGCAGTCCATACAGTCAATCCTATAGACGGCTGCCGATCTTTCGATGCTGGGGAGCGGGTCCTTAGGGCGCATTATTGCCGCCCGCAGTGTTTGGTTGGGTCTATGGGCCACCTGTATTTTATATGGTGCCAGGATCCTAGCTGTGGCTTCTGATACATTATGGATGTAGGGGAGGGCAATGCGTGTGGTGGCTTGAGGCATGGATTCTTGAGATACGGGGTTACTCCGGAGTCCAGGTGATTTCCTGAACTGGTTAATAAGTTTGGCCGGGTAGCCGTTACGTCTACATATTTGGAAGAGGTAGTTTCTCTCTTCCTTTTTAGCTCTGACGGTGCTGCAGTGTGTCTCCACCCATTTGAATAGCGTCCTGACACAACTGGCTTTATGGGCCATCGGGTGATTACTCCCAAAGTGGAGAATCCTGTCTGTACATGTTGGTTTTCGGTATACCCTGGTAGCTAGACATCCATCCACCTGGCGCTGCACTAATACATCCAGAAATGCTAAACTGCCCTGATCTTCCTCCTCCATGGTGAATTGGATGTCTGGGTATACCGAATTCAGGACGCCCATAAAGTCAGTCTTGTGTCGTTTCTTAATGACCGCAAACGTATCGTCCACATAGCGGGCCCAAAATTTTGGTTGATGCTGGGCCATCGCTATGTGTTCTAGCTGCTGGAGTACCATCTCTGCAACCACACTGGAGATCGGCGACCCCATAGGTGTTCCTTTAACTTTAAAGTTTAACTTTAGTGGCGTCAGTGTATTGGCAAATGATAGTACCAAAGGGGGCCGCCTTCTTAGAGAGGCATGGCTCTCGGACAGCAAGTCCATTAACAGGCATATTGACCTATGTCCGTCCTATTTGGCCTTAAGATCATGGAGTGCCAATAATCAGCAGCAACACCCCCGATGGCCCAATAACAACTTGGGCAGCACCCGAACTACCCAACAAATCATGTGTAATTCAGAGGAAGAAAAGCAATCGCGAGATACCTCGACCACCCCCGTGAGACTGCTGCAATCCCAGAGGATCAGGGGGGTGATAAGAACCAAGGTCCGGACCCCTGACAGCAAAGAGGAGACGAGGGAAGATACGGCAGGTGGAAGTGCGGGTGAACCGCCAAACATAACGGCCTGCCTACACATCAAAAGAAACATCACGGTTGGTCCGGAAAGGAGGAGAAGACCCCCTCGTGCAGCCGGAACGATCAGCTCCAATGAGGACAAACCACGGGAGGTGGTTGACGATGAACTCTCACACACCGTTATAGAGGAGGAGGGAATATCGGAGAGCGGCAGGGTGCGGGAGATCGAGCCGTCACACCCCCTACCCGACGATCCTGAGGACTCCCATGGAACACACGCGAATGCTTTTAACAACGTAAAAAAGGGGAGAACTGAGGAAGAGCGCTGCAACCAGGAGGGGCGCGGCTTGATTGCTGTACACACACCCCCTGGACTGAGTACTCGGAGTAGGACACGCGCAAGACAGCTGGGCATGACAACGAATAAGAGACGACCCCTCCACCTTGCGGAATACCCCCCCACGCTGCACCGGACCCATAGCAACTTACGAGATCATCAGGATGACGGACACATTAAAAACGAAAGTATTGAGACCGGAAATGAATGCCATTCTAAAAGTAACAACCGGACAAGATACGGTGGAGAAAGGAACGTGGAATGTGCACTACCTGAGCCTGAGGGGAGGTCAGAACATAAAGGCAACCGAAATAACTGGAATTGCCATCTGGCTAATCCGGAGTTGGGAGAATTGGAGATGGATGAGGATAAAAATGCAACCAAAAAGAGAAAAGAAGTACAAGTTAATTGCACACGGCTGAACCAATTAGGCCCGATAACAAGATCAAGGAGCCGGGCGCAAACCTTGACACGCCTATAAAAGACCTTCTCATTCTCTGGCGCGCCAGCCCTGAGGATGCCGGCAGGTGACGGCGAAAGCTTGGCGCTTTTTAAAACTTTTATAGTTTTAATTTATTAAAAACTTTTACAGTTTTTATTACCCTGGTGTTCAGTTTATATTTTCACCATATATATATATATATATATATATATATATATATATATATATATATATATATATATATATATATATATATATATATCATATATCTGCTTGCCATTGTAGAATTTACACACCCAATTTATTCATTGCAGAATGACCTGCTGACAATCCCTCCACTTCAGAGGTACATCAGGTGTGAACAAGAGGGCAAGTCCCTTCAGCAGTAGCCCTCCAATTTATGGAATTACCAGCCTCTAGAAAAGCTGGCTCAGGAATTCTGGGAATTGAAGTCCACGAGTCATAAAAGAGCCAAGGTTGACTACCCCTGCTCTAGAAGTACAGCATTACATTTCTAGTCTTTTGAAAATAAGTTAAAACCCGTGCTTTTTTTGTCATAGAACTCACCGGAACAAAGTTCCGGCACCTGTTTTTGACAGATTTTCCAAGTTTTAAAAGTAACTTGAAAATTTGATGTTTGGTCCACATGGACTTGAATCTCCCTGTCAAGCATAGTAGATCGGAGGCAAAATCATTAAAATGGTGCATGCGGGCTGCTTGTGTGTCGAGTCCAATACGTGCATATTTCGTCCAGTTGTTTGGCTTGTGACACTGCTCGGCTTGTGATTGGTCATGTAGTCGTGTGCTCCGTTATGTTTCATTACACAGCTGACGTGTGTGGGTATGTGTACAGTGATTGACTACATGTGAAAGGTAAATAAAAGATTAACAAGATGTGAGTTCCGGCACTGTTTTTCTTACAGAAAAAGCACTGGTTAAAACATTTTTTAAATTGTGTCATTGTGCCTTTGGCACAAACTGAAAATGGGTGTCTTGATTCTTTAAAAAAAACAGGTTTTTAATTGTATTGAATGTTTAATTGGCTGATATGCTATTGACTGCTCAGAGTGACAGAAAGGAAGGGAGGAAGGGACGTGCCCTTACATTTAATTGTATGATAGCTTTTTTATTATATACTAAGGATGAATGTGAAACAGACCCATTTTTTAACCTGCACTTAACTAACTTAAATTTATAATTTATAAATAAGATTTAAAAACAGGAAAGGAAGGATTATAGTAACTTGCTTTTTAGAGCCTTCAATTAAAAAATAAATAACTCAATGTCATTTGCTGTTGGTTTCTCCATTTTCTTTTTCAGTCTAATTTCAAATATTTTCTTTCTTATTCTGCTATTAAATCTTTTTTAAAAAAAACCTCTTAATCTTTTCTTCCAAAGCACTGAATTGGATTTTTCAGTTGGGCACTATTAAAAGCTCTCCTTGAAAGAGAAGATTAATTTTATTGAAATATAATCCTTTTTTATCCCACTTCAGACATTATTTTTTCTTCTTCAAGCTAGCATTTAAAAGTAGATACAATTTTTCAGAGTGCAGTTATTAAGAAGTTAGCTCTTATGACAGGCCAAACAAACTCAATGCAGTCGCTATCTCAGAATCCAAGTCAGCCAAATAAAAACTACAACAATGCAATTTTGAAATAGTATTGTTTTGCTTTAAGCCATATCCAATTAGAGTCGATATGAACTCCATAATAACAACTGCATCTGCCTTACCCCCAAATTAATGCAATAGTACCAATCTTCATGTTCCATGATCTCATACCTCTATGAATGCCCAATTAGGCTACTACAATGTGCTTTACATGGTGCTGCCTTTGGAGATGATCCAGAAGCTAAGTTACAAGTCACATCATAACCAGCATCAACAAAAGGCAAAAAGTTGCCTCAAGATAGGCATCCCACAACCAGTCAAGTGAGGCCAAATGTTACTTAGAGCAGAATTTTGAATTGCTTCTGAAGCTTCAACACATTTCTGGAGATGCCAGTGCAGAATTGTGCCTCTATTAAAACTGTTGCACTGGGACATAGTAGGCTTCTGAACCCAGCTGAAAATCCTGCTGTAGTCATTATCTTTAAAGTCCTAAGTCAGGTGTGTCAAACTCGCAACGTCACGTGACATGTCGCGACATGTTGCGACTTTTTTTCCATTGCCGGCAATGGGGTGGGCGCGGTTTCACTATGATGCATCTGGCCCGAAGGCCAGCAGTTTGACACCCCTGTCCTAAGTGGTGCAGTATTGGGAGGATAAACTAGGCAACACTTACATCAGACCTAAAACCACTCATATGTTTCAGTCATCCAGAGAAGCCTTCTGAAACTCTCCACTGCTTCACATTCAAGGCACATAGGAGTATGTGGGACAGACAGTGCCCCTATGGTAGTTTCCATTCTATTGAATTACATTTCCATCCCATCCCTCCAAAGTATGTAAAGGCACCACTTTGCTGATATTTTGGAAATAAAGAAGTTTTACTTCAAGGAGAATTGGGATCCATTTGACTGGTTGTGGCATGCTTATCTTCAGTTTAACTTTGATTTTGTGTTTTCTGATTTTATTCATTCCTGTGCACCACCACACAGAGTCCTCCAGGCTTGGAGTGGGTTTTAGATTCCATTAAATCAATTTTTTTTTTAAAAAAAATAAACTTTGTACCTGCTAGATTTTCTACCTCACCTGTTTCCTATCCCAAGAAGCAAGTATGTTCACAGGTAGTCAAGTTTCTTTAAAATTGAGAAATTGCAATCTATACAAACATTGGCAAACATATTTTTATGTAGAAATATTCTCTAAAATGGATATATGTAATACAACTTACACTTTTGTTGATCTTCACATGCACATTGAAGCAATATATCTCTCAGTGGATCAGGTAAATTGTTGTAAAGCATAGAGAGCTTTAGGAATACTTCATTTATCTCGTCCATCTTATCACAGTGTTTCAGCTTCTGAGAGTTGACTAATGATGGTAAGTTCAAACTAGATTTTGTCACAGGCCTGAGCCTTGAAGCCAAGCTTCTTTTCCTTAATATTTGGTGATTTTTGGCTGGTTGTGGGAGGGGAAGACAAGATCTTTTCCAAAAAAACATCCTGAAAAGTATTGATTTTTTAATAGTTTTTAAAGGAAAGCAGTTGTTATCAATATAAAACACAATGGCCTGACTTTCTCTGCCTATCAAACTCTTTATATTGGTGGTGAAAAGCCATTTTCCCTGCCCCTACCACTATGTAATCTGGGTGTCATAAGAGCAATGTGATGTCACAGGCAATGAGAGACAGAAACTATACTATCAAAATATACTTAATGGCACTGCTGACTTGACATGATTAACTGGATTTTCAAGAATTAACATGACATGTCAATGAGTAAGCCAGATCAAATGAATAAGCCCATTAACCCAGAGAGGTTTAACTTTACTCCCAAACGGATCCCCCCCCCCATCCTGTTTGGAGTTAAATTAACTTCCTCCAGTGAGTTGTATCATACAAATAAAGACGTTTGCTTTCCATAATCATAGAGAAATCCTACAATGTCTCCATAAAAATAGGACTTCATTTGGAATTCTGATTGTGTAGCTACTTCAGATTTCAGTTGAGACATACATATACATGTCCACACTGGAAGGAGACTAAATAAGGGCAATATGGAAGTGAGTATGGTCCTTTGAACCTGTCCACAGTGATTTAAGCTCTGATCATACCACTGTTTTTTTCCCATAAAGTAACAAAAATAAAAACATGGGGTAATGGGAAGGAAGGTGAAGTGAACATCTAGAAACTAAGTCTTTAAAGTCTTACAAAAGACAGGCAGATCACAACATCCTTGGTCGTGTGCTTGCCCATAAATCATTCTCTACTCTTCCGCAAAGTCATGGCTCTGATTAAAAAAAGACCTAATTAAGTAGATGAAAAATTTTTGGAAGAAGCTTTTTATGCAATTTCATGACAAACACTGAAATGTTTTTCTAGCTTTTGTTTTTTAGCAAACCAATTTATGCTAGTTCTTTTAAAATACTTGTGTTGAAAGAAAAATCATCATCAGATTCCAGTCCAAGCTGGGAATAAACAAAATGGAGACTGCTTAAGAAAGCAGGTCATAGTTTATTGAAGAGCAAAGCCAGACAGAAGCATGGCTCTGGAAAAGCTGACCACATGGAGCAGGGAGTTGTGGGTTTTTATACCTTCTTGGGCTTTTGTGTTTGGAGTTGTTCCTGTGGCAGGAACTTTGACCTGAGGTTCAGTGTACCTTTTTGGTATTCTGATGGTGGTGGATTAATCCTATTATGTCCTAAAGGTCATATCCTGCTTCCCTAGGGCTGTGGCTGATGGCTATGTCCTGTGTTGGATTTTTTTGAGTGAGGGGTTGTTAGTTCTAGAGATCTTTGTCTTTCTAATTCCATCAGCTCTAAGCTTCCTGGTACCAGTCTTTCTGAAAGGATTATGATACCTGCATTTCTACAGAGCTGGTTTCTGCTTGGGGGAGGCGACTTGGGGCTATTAAAAAAAGACTGGGCATGTTTTTCTGCCTTTTTAAGATCCTTTGAGGAAATATAATATTCTACCTTTTTAATATTTCCTTCCCTGGAGGGGGGGGGCTGATTTCCCACACTTTAGTACTCTTCCCTTTTGTAAAAAAGACTTCTAATCATTGGATTCAAATGCAGGATTTCTCAACCACTGCAATAGGTACCCGAGGTGGTTTCAAAAGATGTGAAAGATGATTCATCTCCCCAAATCTAAGGGTTGGTCAAACTACTGCAACAAGTTTCCAACTGTGTGTGCTGAGGCAAGTTTGCTTCTTGATCATGTGGTCAGGAGGAATGAAGGAGAGGGGGCTGCTTCCTCACTCTAATTGTTGGCAAACGCTTTGCCCCCCCCCCCACCCCCACACACATACTGCCTCCTTTTGGTGCTTATTTTGGCAAAATTTAAGAGCAGGTAAAAGTTGTTGAAATAAATATAAATATGGCCATGATCAACATCCAGAATTTGTAGATTTCTTAGATGGATTCCATGTAGAGATGTTGTTTTCTTGTTGTTAGATGAGGGGAGCAATTTTATTTCTTTTTGGCTGAAAGAAACACATGTGCTCTCATTTAAGGAGTTATTTGAGTTTCTCATGTGTCTTGTTAGTGCAGTGGTTCTCAACCTTTTTAATGCCGCGACTCCCAACTGGTCGTAAGTCGAGGACTTTCCCTGCCTGGGAGCGCTGTGCATGTGTGGTGCCGCCCCCTGTGCTGGCCAAGGCGTAGCTGGCAAGTGACAGAGACGGAGCAGGCTGACCACTGGCTGGACCACCAGCTGGCCCAGCCCAAGGGAGATAAGGCACCCGCCGGGCCCCACGCGTGCCAGCAACCCTCCCTGCACCCGCTGGCCTCCCACCTCCCACCCCTGGCCTTCTTTTACTTACATTTTTAGTAGTTGTTCAGCAGGGAGGGGTGGAAACTTCCAAACAGCTCGCCTTCGCTGCAGACAACTTGTAGCACCATTTGCAGAATGGGACTTTTGGCGGACTCAGCAGGGCAGAGACAGCCTGGACAATTCCTATTGGCTTTTGAAAGCCAATAGAATTAGACTCTATTCAAGAGAGTCTATTCTATTGGCTTTCAAAAGCCAATACAATAAAAGGGAGTAGCACAGCTAAGGAAAAGGGGAAAAGATGGTGGACTGCGTTGTTTGGCGAACCCCGTGAAATGGTCATTCGACCCCAAATGGGGTCACGACCAACAGGTTGAGAACTGCTGTGTTAGTGGAATAGAGCTTCAGCCTTCTCTCAAAATTAGTATGTATTGTTCTCCTAAATAATGTAATGATTGGTGTTTTACAGCACTAAACATTGTTATCTAAATATGACCATGTAGTTAAGATTGACCATAACTGATAAACGTACAGTAACAACAGCATAGTTTTCAAGTCACAAAAACTGCTAATTTCACTTTATTTTGCTTTGCTCAGACTGCATCTATACTTTGTACTTTGCATCATAATGTCCTGGTGATTGATGACATATTAACACTGTAAAATGGAAAGCTGATGCTTAGTGAGCTTAGAGACTCACAGTATTGATTTTCAGTGCTCATCAATTTTCTAGTCTTGTGATCTTTTTTTTTTTTTGCACCTTTTTATCTAGGTTCTAAGTTATTTAATTAGTTTTAAAGTTTTTTAATATTAGTTAAGTTTAGATTTTGTGGGGGTTTTTTATAACAAAATTACATATGGTTAGATTTAGTTGGTTAAATATCTAGTTTTTAGCCACATATTCATTTCTTTAAAGTTTGGTTGGAAACATGACAAGGCGTAAATCACTTTATCCTCCAAAAGAAACTATCGCAAACTCCTTAAAGTGGTAAACCTGTTGGTAATAATAGTTGAAAGGATCACGCAACCTCAGTTTCAATTTACATGAAAGCTGGGACATGACCATTGAAGTAAAGACAAGGATAGAAAAAGCCTGAACAGCATTCTTCAAAATGAAAAAGGTCTTCTGCAGTCATGACATAAGCCAAGACTGAAAATCAGGCTTGTCAGATGCTATATTTTTTCTATCCTGCTCTATGGAGTAGAGAATTGGTCTCTGACAGAAGACCATCAGAAGAGACTAGAAGCATTTGAAATGTGGATTTACAGGCAGCTGTTACGTATAAGCTGGGTTGACAAGAAATGAGGTGATAAGCCGCCTGGGAAAGCCAAGGGAAATCATCAAAACAATTAAAAAACGAAAATTAGAATATTTCGGACATGTGATGCAACACCCAGCATACTCCATTTAATCCTCCAGGGAAAGAGTGAAGGCAAACGAGGTCCAGGCAGAAGAAGAACATCGTGGCTTCAAAATCTAAGGGATTGGTTTGGACAAAACTCAGCAGCACTTTTTCGTGCGGCTGCTGATAAAAACAGGATCGGCAACATGATCGCCAACGTCCGATAATGGATATGGCACAAGAAGAAGATCAACTGGACGAAAAGTTTTTTAAAAGCTCAGAAGAAAAACATGGAACGTGCACTACTTATGGCACCTGACTTCATTCCAGTCTATTAATCTTGAGGAAAAAAAAAACCCACTATTCAGTAAATTTTATGCTGCAAAGGATGAGCTATATTCTGGTAACACTGTATGTAAGTTTTAAAAATGGTGATAAAAGCTTTTAAAAGTATTAAAACTAATTGTGTTTTTTTGGCAATATTTTATTGACCGCTAGTGGACTCGCTGTTAATTTAAGCAATATTTAATGCTAAATTGCACATATGATTGGATCTAACATTTTAGGACTCTTTCTCGCGGCCAATGCCCCTTTCTTCTGGACTCAAATTTTTAGGAAAATTATGCCAGCGTACATTGCCCAGCTTTCAGTGTTTTGCCTTGGGGCATGGAGCAGCTCTGTTCTTCCTCCTGCCTCTCTTGCCATACCGTGTCAGAGGCTCTGGTAGTCCAGGGATAAAGTATGAATGCTGGACAAGATACCCAGAAATATTTGGAGTGACATAAACTGCCAGGAATGCAAAACAGCTCTTTGTGATAGGAGTTCTAGTGAGGAATCAGCTCCACCATTGCTTCTCTTGCCAACTTGAAGTGGGGGGGAGAGAGGAGAGAAAGAGAGACAGAAAGATAGGGGAAGGGGGGGAAGAGAGAGGGATATTGACCTCAGCACGTTTTAAAAGGGGGAATATAAATACTTAGAAACAACCATGGATGCTTTAGTATGTGTGAAGTCTATCCCTTTTGCCTTAGCAAGAATTACAGAGTTATTAGAACAAATATTTGGGTACTGTGGCATTTTGCCAGATTGTTTTACTTTTCCCTTAATTTCTTGATTTTTAATAGTATACATGCCCTGGGATAAGAGGGTTAAGTGGATCGGTAGCATCAGCTTTGATCAGCATAAAAAGTTGAGTTTCATGCTTTTGAAAATAAACCCTCTGTATCACCTTTCAGCACATCCAGTTCATGTTTTATGGCTGAGAACTGCTCAGATATTGAGATCTGAGCTGTGAGCAGGCATTGTTTTGCCAACGTAAGCTCCCCAGAGTTGTTCAACAGTGAGATGGGTGGCATATAAATTTAATACAAAAATAAGTAAGTAAGTAAGTAAATAAGTAAATAAGAACTCAATTGAGTTTTCCCAGAGGAACCTTTCCTTCTGATTTTGGTTTGTCTTTAAGCTTGTTCTTAATTCCCCAGAAGCTGGTAAATGGACGAATTAGTTGTAATGATGACATCCAAGTGTTGTTGTTAGTTGCTGTTAATTGCGAAGTCATGTCAGACCCATCGCGACCCCATGGACAACGTTCCTCCAGGCCTTCCTGTCCTCTACCATGTTCTGGAGTCCATTTAAGCTCACGCCTATTGCTTCAGTGACTCCATCCAGCCACCTCATTCTGTCGTCCCCTTCTTCTATTGTCCTCAATCTTTCCCAGCATTAGGCTCTTCTCCAATGAGTCCTTCCTTCTCATTAGGTGGTCAAAGTATTTGAGTTTCAACTTCAGGATCTGGCCTGCTAAAGAGATGCCAGGGTTGTCTCCTCTAGAACTGACCAGTTTGATCCGCCTTGCAGTCCAGGGGACTTGCAGGAGTCTTCTCCAGCACCATAGTTCAAAGGCCTCAATTCTTTGGCGCTCAGCCTTTCTTATGGTCCAACTTTCACAGCCACACTGCAACTGGGAAAACCATGGCCTTGACTATATGCACTTTTGTTGGCAGGGTCTCTGTTTTTAGTATGCTGTCTAGATTTGCCGTAGCTTTTCTCCCCAGAAACAAGCGTCTTTTAATTTCTTGGCTGCAGTCCCCATCTGCAGTGATCTTGGAGCCCAAGAAAATAAAATCTGTCACTACCTCCATTTCTTCCCCATCTATTTGCCAGGAATTGAGAGGGTTGGATGCCATGATCTTGGTTTTCTTAATGCTGAGTTTCATGCCAACTTTTGCACTCTCCTTCTTCACCCCCATCAAGACATAATGACCCATTTAGTTCTTCCCTAACAGATTAAGGAAAGGTCTTACAGCAGTTGTTCTTCCAATTCTCTCTGAAGGTCTCATTCTAATGAAGAGTTCTGGAACAAAGGGAAATTGTTTAGTCTAACTGTTGCTTTCTTGCGTTTTGTAATTAGCTTTTGCCCCAGAGAAATTTCACGCAAGTGTGGGAAACATGTACATGGATGGGATATACTGAAGGAGGGAATAAGGGAGCGTACACTTAAATATGAGCCAGCAGTGTGCTGCAGCTGCCAAAACAGGCAACACAGTGCTGGGCTGCATTAACAGAGGGATAGAATCAAGATCACGTGAAGTATTAATACCACTCTACAATGCCTTGGTAAGGCCACACTTGGAATACTGCATCCAGTTTTGGTCACCACGATGTAAAAAAGATGCTGAGACTCTAGAAAGAGTACAGAGAAGAGTAACAAAGATGATTAGGGGACTGGAGACTAAAACGTATAAGAAACGGTTGTTGGAATTGGGTATGTCTAGTTCAGGGATAGGCAACCTCAGCTCTTTTATGACTCTATGCTGACAGCTATGCTGACTCAGGAATTCTGGGAGTTGAAGTCCATGAGTCATAAAAAAGCCGAGGTTGCCTACCCCTGGTCTAGTTTAATGAAGAGAAGGAGGGGGGGGGGCATGATAGCAGTGTTCCAATATCTCAGGGGCTGCCACAAAGAAGAGGGAGTCAAGCTATTCTCCAAAGCTCCTGAAGGCAGGACACGAAGCAACGGATGGAAAATAACCAAAGAGAGAAGCAACCTAGAACTAAGGAGAAATCTCCTGACAGTTAGAACAATTAACCAATGGAACAACCTGCCTCCAGAAGCGGTGAATGCTCTAACACTGGAAGTTTTTAAGACGAGATTGGACAGCCATTTGTCCAAAATGGTGTAGGGTTTCCTGCCTGAACAGGGGATTGGACTCGATGACCTCCAAGGTCCCTTCCAACTTTATTATTATGGATCATCGCACAGTCAGCCAGATGTTCAGACTGGATTTGGCATTTTGTCTACCTATCGAGTCCTTACCCAGGACCTGGGATAGGCAGATGTGGTTGTTTGATGGTATTACAGGTATTGTCGCAGGATGGAAGCAGTTCCTAATAAGGCCGCCTTTTGCAATTGACTAATAGCGAATTTGTCAATGCCAATGGTGTTCAAGTGGTGCTCCAGTTTTTTGGGATTGCACCCAAGGAGCCTATGACTATTGGTACTACCCTTGCTTGCTTTTGCCACAGTCTTTCTATTTCTATTTGTAGGTCTTGGTATTTTGTTATCTTCTCCAGTTCTTTCTCTTCTATTCTGCTATCTCCAGGCACTGCCACGTCCACTATCCAGACTTTTTTGTCTTTCTTATCGACAATTGTTAAGTCTGGGGTGTTATGTTGCAGGTGCTTGTCTGTTTGAATTCTGAAGTCACAGAGCAGTTTAATTTTATCATTTTCTATGACTTTCTCTATTTTATGATCCCACTAGTTTTTGCTTACAGGCAAATGATATTTTTTGCAGATCTTCCAATGCACCATTGTTGCTACTTTGTCATGCCGCTGCTTATAGTCAGTCTGTACAATCTTCTTGCAACAGCTTACCAGGTGGTTCACTGTTTCTTCAGCTTCTTTGCTTAGGCGGCACTTACTGTCTGTTGCTGTCTTCTCCATTTTGACTTTATATGCATTTGTCCTTAAGGCTTGGTCTTGTGCAGCCAGAATTAGTCCCTCGGTCTCTTTCTTCAATTTTCCTGCTCTTAGCCATTGCCAGGTCTTGTTAATATCTGCTTTCCCAGCTATTTTTTAATGTATTGGCCATGTAGTGCTTTGTCTTCCCATGCCTCTATTTTGTTCTTCATTTGGTCTTTCTTGTAGGCCAGTTTGGTCTCTCCAGTAGTTAGTAAGCCTTCCTGATATAATAATTTCAGTGCATCTTCATCATTGTTCTTCAGATATTCTTCCAAAGCCATTTTTTCTTCTTCAACCATCTGATGTACTTGTAGCATTCCACGCCCACCTATTTGCCTTGCTAGATAAAGTCTATCAATGTCACTGCGTGGATGAAGGGCATGATTCATTGTCATTATTTTTCTGGTCTGCCTATCCATTGCTTTTAGTTCTGCTTGAGTCCAGTCCACTATTCCAGCTGTGTACCTAATGACTGGGATTGCCCAGGTGTTGATTGCCTTTATGGTATTTCCTCCATTGAGTTTGGACTTTAAGATCCTCTTCACTCTCTTGATGTATTCACCTCTAATCTTTTTCTTGACTTCAGTGTGCTTGATGTTGTCAGCTTGAAGGATACCCAAGTATTTTTAGTAATCTTCCTCATCCAGACTCTTAATGTTATTTTCGTGGGGCATCTTGATTCCTTCAGTTTTCACTACTTTTCCTTGTTTGATAGTTAAGTGTGGCACATTTGTCCAAGCCAAACTCCATAACAATATTTTGGCTATATATACGGACAGTGTTGAGCAGCGATTCTATTTCAGATGATGTTTTTCCATACAGCTTCAGATCAACCATGTAAAGGAGATGGGATAGTCTGGTAGATGTTTTTGATATTTGATAGCCATGTCCTGAGTTATTCAGTATTGTTGACAGAGGAAACAGTGCAATAACAAATAGTAATGGTGACAATGAATCTCCTTGAAATATTCCTCTCTTGATATTAACCTCTCCCTGTCTCTCACCATTGATCTGCAACTGTGTCTTCCATTGTGCCATCGATCTTTGCACAAATTTTCTGATGTTTCTACTGACTCCTGTTATTTCTAGGCACTTGATTATCCAGTCATGTGGCAGAGAGTCAAATGCCTTTTTGTAGTCAATCCATGCCACATTCAGGTTGGTCTTCTTTTTCTTACAGTTTTCCAAGATCATTTATTTATTTATTTATTTATTTATGAGACTTATATACCGCTTTAAGTGCAAGCACTCTCTAAGCGGTGTACACCAGTAAGCAATGTGTGTGTGTGTGTGTGTGTGTGTGTGTGTGTGTGTGTGTGTGTGTGTGTATTGTTCCTCTGCTATTGGGGCGGTTTCCTTTCTGCTCAGGTGGAAAGAGATTGTTTTCAACTAGATGCTGTTGTACTGCATCAGCTACCACACCAGTTGTTGTTGTTGTTGTTGTTGTTATTATGTAATGGCTCTGTTGTCTGATTTTCATTGGCTAACAAAGTTTATAAAGCAATCCTACCAATTTTCTAATTAGTGGCACTTCTGGATGTAACTCTGCCAGCATTCCAGATTGTTGGCCACCCAGCTGCTTAATTTGATCAAATAAAGTGCTGCTTGCTGAAGAAGTCTCCGCTTGGATTATCTGATTAGATTGATATGGTATCTCAAGTTCAAGGGACTGGGACCTTACACTAACACATCAAATTTGTTTGAAATAAAAGCAGCATTTATTTTACTTACAGATCCTTTTCATGCAAAGTGTTCTTCTATCTTTTGTTATTTAGCTGCTTTTGGTAAAGGGAGAAAGTCCAGGCTGCTGACATTTTGATTTAAAAAATCAAGAAGTTGGGAGGAGAGGAAAAAAACCCGACATATCTACATCGGGTTTGCATGAGCTAATAGCATGAGCTAATCTGTTGTAGGAAAAAACAACGAAACATTGTCTTGTTCCCCCCCCCCCCCAAAGATTATGGCACAGACTTTAAAAGACTTCCCTGCCAAAGGCAGATCGCTCCCCAAAGATGTAGGCGCCTGTAAGAGCTCGCAATGAATCCTATCTCTCACCGCACAATCTCCACACTGCGTCAGGCCCACTACAGTTGCCTTCATTATGACCCCACTAACCAGGCGAGGGGAGCATTTCACACAACCCGAGCAGGGCTATATCGGCCCGAGAGAGTTTACCCTTTGCCATTGCTCTTTTCTCCCGAGAGAGCCCAACTGGATGCGCCCCATCAGGACTAGGAAGAGAGCGAGCGGCCAGAAAGAGGCGCGGGGGAAAAGCGACGCCAGGGGAAGGAAGCAGGCGGACACCTCGCCCTTGAGAAACCCGAGGGTCCTGGCAGGCTGCGGCGGCGACTGAGCTATTTCCATGGCGAGTAGCGGCCCGCAACACACTCTGAAGGCCGAGGCGCAAGGCGCTAAGCCCAAATTTCGCTCCGCCGCGTCCTACCCCAGCATGTACCCAGCGAGTGGGCGGTCTGCGCCCTCTTCTCCTCCTAAGAAAGAAACGCAGCGAAGTTTCACAAACTTCCCAGGGTAGGGAACGCAGGCGAAGGCCGGGTGGGCATCCCCGACACCCCAAACAAGCGCGCTTCGAGCAATGCGCGCTTCCCAACGAGAGGTGCTCCTGCCTGTCTTACGGCCAAGTCGGACCGCCCTTGCTTTGCGCTTGCTCTAGCTAGGTTTCTAGATTTTTGTAATATTATTTTAAAATTTAATGTTTTTCTATACATTACATAATATTAGGTAGGTAAAAATAATTTAGTTTAAAACTGAGTTATTGTGTTTTTGTTATTTTTGTGTGTGTCGAACCTGGGGGTTTTTTTGCGTATGAAACCTGATTAAATAGGTAAAAATTTAATACAAATGTTGGGTTTTTTTGTTGAGTTTTTGTGTTCAGAGTCTGAAACCCTGATTAAATAGGTAAAAATAGGTTAGTTTAAAACGGATGTGTGGCGATTTCTGTGCTATCTTGTGTGTGTGTGTATGTAGAATCTAGGTTTGTTTGAGCATGAAATCTTGGGGTTTTTTAGGAAGCACTGCTGGCGACTCTGACTTGGAAGAGGGCACTATGTGTGGGAGTTGACAATGCTTTGTCTCTAGCTTTAAAGGGGACTTCAACCACTACCTTGACAGGAGACTGACATCTCTTGTTGTGGTGTGTCTAAGGATCACTTGTTTCAAGCATGATCCAATCAACCAGGGTTGTAAGGAGGAATAGATTTAATCTCAGCTGCTCCATATTATACTGCCCACTTTCAGGTTTTTACATGTGGCATGCATATTTAAGATGCATCTATATAGACAAACATAAATGAGAATGTAAACAAGTATTTTGGTCAGAAAGTACATTTAATCCCAGTTAATTTCATAATTTGTGTTTTAAAAATAGTCACAGAGATATTATAAAATTAAAGGTTTACCTTTCCACCTGATAAGCCACCTTGTGCTTTCTGCATATTTGGAAGTATAGCTAGTCTCATTTCCAACAAGCATGGAAATATTAAAGGATTATAATCCCAAATATCTGGGGCTGCTGGTTTATTATCCTGGTACTTAAGATGCCATATTGTCCTTTCTTTTCTAGCTCTGCCTCTTCCGATTAGTATGACCACTGCAATCTAATTTTTCTGAATGAATTCATTTCTAAATACAGTAATCTCTTTTTCACTCTTTCAAGCAGCCAAGGAAATCAAGTAGGATTTGTACTTTTATCACAACTCTTTTACTTACTTAGTCTACCATTCACACAATATATTGTCTTTTATTCCCAATTCATTTCTAAACAAATATACAATCTATTTTCAGCAATTTCAGGAGAAAGCAACAGCATATCTTTACAGAAGCCATTTTGTTGCAGGGTTATGATTTTCCAATCCTTTAATACACTTTTAATTAAATGTTCCATTTTAGATAGCATCTGTGTGTCCCTGTAAGGCAAAACATATATCCTCCCACTATTTTGGTATCATTTATAAGATTATGATGTACTTGATTCATTTAAGTTTCTTACAGCCCGACTGGTCATCCATTATACCACCTAAATACACTATTGCCTTTAAGAACAAACACTAAGAGCTCTGCTTCTTTTTCTCTCCAAAATAACTTCCAGACTTTGATAGCCCTTTATAAATGCCCTTTTAATTCTTGAAATCTGACTTTCTCCTCTACTGTGCTGAAACATAGAAACGGCTTCTTCTTCCTGAAGAAATAAGACTTATGTCTCTTTCAGAGGGCTAAAGTAAAGAATATCTCGGTTTTAGAGAATAAAAAACCCAAACCTTCAATTTTGCCTTTTTTCCCTTTGATCTTTAACAACTGCTCTTACTGTTGCTTTGCAGTCTGTCATTCCTGTCCATAATTTCTCTATATCCTCTCACTATTCCAGAGTATTTTTTTTTAATTTAACTTTGGCATGTTAAACCTTGTAAAATATAATTTGGCAGAGCTCTGTCCTTTGTTCCTATATTAACAATCTATTATTATTTTCATTTCTTGCTCATCCTGAGGTATATATTTTTTGTCTTTCCTAATTCTCATCTGCATACAGGCTGGGTGAAAAAAGCAGGGTTGACAAACCTGCCTATCTGAAGGGAAAAAAAGAAGCTGTTCCTGGTATTTATGGGACAATGCTGCCAATCAGCACCTTATCTCACCAGGTACATGAATCTCATTATCAAATGAATCTAATCTTATATGCAGTACCCATTCTATACCATGTCTGCTGTTTAATGATAAATGGATGGTTTGTCATATAATTAGAGCTATAGTGCTTCAGAACACATGGGAGCAAGAACCTGCTATCTACAAGTCCTCAAAGCGATTGTACCTTTACAGGGGTTCTCAACCTTGGCAACTTTAAGACTTGTGGACTTCAACTCCCAGAATTCCTCAGTCAGGTTGAGAACCCCTGCTTTAGGAACACGCAGCTACCCACCAGAACTGCCATATAATCCTAGGAAAAGATGTGGTTGTTTTAAATACTTGCAGGCAAATGCTACATCTGTACTCCTAAATCTGCTGGAACATCTGTCCTAAAACTGAATTCAAAGTGCTGTATGGCTTTATAAATATACTTCATTATCATTTTGAAGAAGCAAAATATACCCAAATCTCAAGACCACAATTGAACAAAAGTAGTCACAACTGAATACTTTTCTATAGTGCAGGCACTGTTATACTCTACTGAACCAAGCACATTGTTCTGAAGGTTTGGGCATTGTTTTTAAAGAAAACTTTTTTTTCAGAAGCACATACCATATGTTGAATATTTGTTGATAGCAAGAAAAATTATAAATAAGAAATAAATAAAATGAAGATTAAGATTGAAAAAATATTTTGTCACATTCATAAGAATAAATTCATAAGAATAAGTCAAATTCATTTATATGCTGTATTTCATGTGACTTACATGCACATGAACGTAATTACATGCACACGTATTATCACACATTTGAACTCTCCCATTTATAGAATTACCTATATGTAATTAGACTGGGAAATAAAAAAATAAAAGAAAATCCAGAATGAGGCCATGGCAAACCATTTCTGTATTCTTACCCCCCAAAAGGACATGTCTGCATATTGAGTCAAACTCAACCTGAGGGAAACTTAAGATGATATAATTAAATAGGGTTAGTTCTACATTCTAAAATAACCTTTCCTAAAATGTGGCTCAAATGAACTGTTTAGTGCTTTTCAGAATGCACCTTAGCTATTGGAGCAATGTTTAATTTATTAGAGCAACAAACTTCAGGGTAACTGTGGATGGTAACTGTGTATTATTATTACCAAAATAATACAAGTAAAATGTATAGTTTATGTATATGCAGTTAGTAAAACTAAACATGAACTTAATTACAGGAATCATATGTCTGTGGTCTGGAAACTGACTGTTCTGCTGAAAAGAAATTTCATTCACCAGAAGGTAAGCTTTCCACAGGAGGTGCGTTCGAGTGTAGATGTTCTTTATGTTAAGAAATTACAAAACAATTTATATAGATAAATAAAGGTTACTTTTGGTCTTTTGCAGGCATTCTTACAAGCACATTTTACAAGGTAAGGGCAAAAAATATTAAACTCCTTTAATAATCTTATAGCGACCTATGCTAAATTGACATTTTTATTTCTTTTTTTTATTAAAAGTTTTATAAATTTATTACAATATAAACCCCCCCACCCCTTCCCCCCTCCCCCCATTTCCCAGAGCTGATTACAGGGTAAAACAAAAGAATAAACAAATATAATCCAACTAACATAAACCAACTATACTATCAATCAAAACCATAAGACACTTTAACTCCTTATCAATACAAATATTAACAAATTAAGTCAAAAATAATAATATAATTAAAGCTATTAATAATTATCTAAAATCTACTCAAAAGCAAGATAATACTTTTCAATTTCATATTTCTTCTGAATATAATCAATCCATCTTCTCCAAACCATAATATATCTTTCTTGTGAATGGTCCTTCAAATAGGCAGAGATCTTCGCCATATCTGCTAAATTAGACACTTTAAGTATCCATTCCAAAGTAGGCAACAAATTCTACTTCCTACAGGACACATGATCGAGGGAGTATCTAGGGGAGTAAATTTGGATAAGATTTCTTATAAGGAATTATTTAGTTTGGTTGGGCAGCATTGGCAATTAAAGCCTTTAAATGAGTTGAAGCAAGAAAATATTGTATATTCTTAGTTTTATTATAATCGTTATTGAGGTGGAGTATAGATCAAAAGGTTGGAATTACTTTAGAGGATGTGAATTTGGTAAAACAGATTAAAGATCAAAGTCGAGCTCATATAAAAAGAATTTATAATGTTTTAATAGAATTGGATTCTGAAACAGAGTTGGTTAAAGATTGTATGATCAAATGGGTGCAAAATATTCAAGAGCCGATTTTATTAGATACATGGGAGACAATTTGGGTTAGAAATGTAAAATTTACTCAAGTGCAAAATTTGAGAGAAAATTTTTATAAAATGTTTTATAGATGGCATTTGGATCCCCAAAAGTTGTCCCGCATGTATCTGAATTTACAGCCTAAATGTTGGAGATGTGGAAATTTAGATGCAACTTATTTCCACATTTGGTGGACTTGTAGAGATATTAAAGCTTTTTGGATCAAGATTTGGTGGAATATTCAAAAGATTTTTAAGAAAAAGATTAAGTTTACTCCGCAATTATTTTTGTTGGATATTATTGTAGATGTTGATGTTAAAGAAACTAATTTGATGTTGAACCTTATAACAGCTGCAAGATTATTGGTGGGACATTTTTATTTCAAAGAAAGTATTGCATACATTATTCAGGTGTGAATTGACGTCAGTGTTCTCTAAACCATTTAAATCTTGGTTTTCCAGTTCTTCCACGAAATACTAGTCCCATGCATGTTTATTTTGAAGCCTGCTTCCTCTTATTGGACCCCAGGAGTCGTATCAATTCTCCCTTTCTGTGAATCCAATATTTTATTGCCCTCTTTGTCTGTATGCTAGCCTTTGAGGCCAACTGTTTTAAAGTCTGGAAAATTCCAAAGAGGTGGGGTGAGGATGGAGATAAGCAGTAGAAACTAAGAGTCCAATGTATTCTAAGCCTTTGCATGCCCCCCTCCCTCCCCCAGTCCTGTTTGGAATTTAGAGCAAAGGGAAGCTTTGAAGAAGATGAAAAGACTCAGCCTTATTTTCATCATAATTTCTGGCCAGCTGGCAAGGAATCATATTGGACACCATTCAAAACATTCTGTGATTGGAACCTTCTGGTTTAGCGATAGAATTGTTTTAGCATTGGTATTAAGGTTATGTTAAGCTGATTCACCAGTAAATAGGCAATTATTGTAGTTTGTATGTAAGTCCAACAATTTCAGCAACAATTGTTATGCTAAGTCCACAAAAATATTTAAGTATGAGTTGCACATCTGTGGAATTTCACAGGCCAACACGTGGAATTATGTACAGGCTTGAGATGAGATGTAGAGATAGGGGCCAGGTAGAGGTCGTGAGCAGCAAACTGCCCCTCCAAAGCCTGCCTCTTCTCTCTACATAATCTCACCCCTTCACATCACCATGGTAATGTGGGAAACTACCCCAGGCTGGTACAATGACCTCACCTGCCTGATATCAGCTAGCTTACACCAACAGGATGTTGCAACAAACTGCAGCCTGTTTTGGACCTCTGGCTTTCTATCCTTAAGGATTGGTAAGGAGTTTAACCAATGAAATGCTATTGCTATGCTATTGCCATGTTAAACTTTTGCTGCTTGGAAGACTGTATAAAAAGAATAAACGCTGCGAAGGCAGTCAGCCATATTTGCACCCTGCAATGATTGAGCACTGATTACTACAATGAAACACATAGCTCAAAATAGTTACTGCATTTTATAATGCATGTTTTGTTTTATAAATATTACAGTGACTCTGTTCTTTTATAGGACCACTATAAAGCTGCAGTTGAACAGTTGACAACTCTTAGCATGTCAAAAAATTCCAGGACAGCACAGGTAGTATAAGTTTGCAAAACTCTTTCATAATGCAATTTACTTTCAACTGCTTAAATTTCAACTATTTTTCCAAGTTGCATACCAATCGTATTTTTGTTAAAACTGTTTTGCATTTTTCAGCTGAATTCCAATAGCAACAAACAAAGGCAACTCCATTCCTGGAACCATATTCCTAATCAAGACAATAATTCAGTGAGCAGGTAAAAAAAATATATTGCTTTTCTTTTTTAAAAAAAGAAATTAAATAGAATGAGGGCACAAGCAAGATGCTTTCCACTCAACATCTTCACTAATAAACTGCCAAGCATTGAACTCATTTTAAAACACTCTTTGGAAATTATTTTTCTGAGTGGATTGGTATGTGCAAAATGATGCCAACAGGATTTTTTTTTAAAAAATTAATTGCGAAAAAACAAGTATGATAGACATTGAGAAAAGCAATTCTCTGTATGAATGGCTGCTATTTATTAATGTTAACTCTTAATAGCAATTGTTAATAATTAATAGCAATCTTAAAAGTCCCTATGTTGAGCAGTTTGAATTGCCATGCTCTCAGGGCCAGTTTAAGCAGAATTGGGGAGTTTAGGGTCTCCATTGGTGACTATTCACACAATCACTTTTGTTTGAGAGCTGGTATGTAGAAAGTCGAGTAGGAGGGGCATTTCTATATATATCTTTTGTGGAGGGCAAATCACTTGCTAGTCCAGACGAAACTGGCTACTCAAGATCTCCACAGTACCAATAGCCTGATTAAGATGACTCAGCCCGGGTGGTTTCTGTACCTATTTGGTGTCCTGTGGGCCCTTAAGAAATTTCTAGGCAAGCTTGCAGCAATTCCCTTCATCCTGGTGACATGCAAGAGTTGAAGCAGTAGAAAAAGATGTTAGAGCACTGCTGGAAGAAGAAAAAAAGTAAACTTAACTGAGCACAAATTTGAAATCATGTTCAAACATAACTGGGGCAGTAAGGGAGGAGAATGTCCAGTTTAATGAAGAGAAGGACGAGGGGTGACATGATAGCAGTGTTCCAATATCTCAGGGGCTGCCACAAAGAAAAGGGAGTCAAGCTATTCTCCAAAGCGCCTGAAGGCAGGACAAGAAGCAATGGATGGAAACTAACCAAAGGGAGAAGCCACCTAGAACTAAGGAGAAACTTCCTGACAGTTAGAACAATTAATCAGTGGAACAATCTGCCTCCAGAAGCTGTGAATGCTCCAACACTGGAAGTTTTTAAGAAGAGACTGGACAGCCATTTGTCTGAAATGGTATAGGGTTTCCTGCCTGAACAGGGGGTTGGACTAGATGACCTCCAAAGTCTCTCCAAACATTATTATTATTATTATGGATCATCGCACAGTCAGCCAGATGTTCAGACTGGATTTGGCATTTTGTCTACCTATCGAGTCCTTACCCAGGACCTGGGATAGGCAGATGTGGATGTTTGATGGTATTACAGGTATCGTCGCAGGATGGAAGCAGTTCCTAGTAAGGCCGCCTTTTGCAATTGACTAATAGCGAATTTGTCAATGCCAATGGTGTTCAAGTGGTGCTCCAGTTGTTTTGGGATTGCACCCAAGGAGCCTATCATCATCATCATCATCATCATCATCATCATCATTATTATTATTATTATTATTATTATTATTATTAATCATCGCACAGTCAGCCAGATGTTCAGACTGGATTTGGCATTTTTGTCTACCTATCCTTCCCAAGGACCTGGGATAGGCAGATGTGGATGTTTGGTGGTATTACAGATATTGTCGCAAGATAGAAGCAGTTCCTAGTAAGGGCGACTTTTGCAATTGACTAATGGCGAATTTGAATTATTATTATTATTATTATTATTATTATTATTATTATTATTATTATTATTATTATTATTATTATTATTCCCTTATGACTTCTCCTCCATTCTTTATAGTATCCCTAGGTTGTTATCCTGCAATGCTGTTTAGAGAGGCCAATTACCTTATTAAAAAAAATGAAAAACAAGTTGCTCTCTGACCTGGCTATTGTGACAGACAAGCATAACATTTTGCTGATAAGAGTTACTCAGATTTGCCAAGTCATGTTTTTTTTATGGGGGGGGGGTATCTGTAGGGGTGACTGGAGCAGCATCCTGCCCTGTGATCAGAGAGTTCTTTTGATCCGTGAACTTTGATAAAGTTAGATGGGATACCATATATTTCCAGTCACTTGTGTGCTTGATTCTTGCCCTCTCTGGGAAAAATGTAATTGATAAGTGTCACTCTTACTTCAGATTATTCTGTGTGGCACTTCAGATGCAATTGTAGTTTTTCACAGATTTGGTGATGCTTTTTTTTGCAGGAGGACAGTGTATAAAGTACAATTTCAGCTTCTTTCATTTTCTCTTCAGAGACTTCAATAAACCTGATGCAGAACTGTCATCTGGCTCCAGTGATGGTCTTATACATTTAGCCACTACTAATCCGGAGGTACATTCTTTTACAAAGAGATATCACCCTGTTTCTTATTCAGAAACTAAGAAGACCACATTAGGAAAAAACTGCAGAAAAGATGATGGAGACTCTCTCAAAAAGACCAATGAAGTTATCACTTCAGATTCTTACCTTGCTACGGATAGTAGTAGTGATGACATACATTCAGCAAGTAAATGGAAATTGAAAAAAAGAAGTGTTCACACAGAGAAGAAGCTTTTGGTAGAAGAACAGGAAGTGACCGAGAGTGAGAAAAGAAATATAGCTTTGCTGAAATATTTCAAAACTCTAAATCTTAACATAAAGACAGACCCTTTCATGGACCAGGAAGATGCTCCCTCTTTACTTGAAAACGACAAGTTTCCATACCCTGATTTTCTTCCTTCACCCTATAATAATTTGGATTTTAAAAAATTGTCCTTATCCAAATCAGATAGTTGGAAATCATCTATAAATCCACCACTTAATAACTCACTTGATAAAATTGTCTCGCGTCTTGTAGAAATGGAAAGGTTACAGCACTTAACTATCTTAAGAGAAAAGAAAAAAGAGGCTGTTTCTGCAGCTGCGACTGCTAGCAATCGTTCAATTTCTACAAAAGAGTTACACCAATCAAAACAGCCAAGGCCACTTGATTGCTTATGTTGCCTGTTTAGGCCAGAAAGAGACATAAAATGCACTTGTCAACACTCTCACAGTCACAAAAATTCTGCAACCTCTATGCGTTCATCCTCAAAGCCGTCGTAAGCATCATGTAATAACTTAAATGCATCAACATTCTAAGGGGAAAAAACATGTTTTAAGGGATGATGGTAGGTGAATAGGAATGAGGTGTCTAGATTCTTGAACAGAAACATTTTTGTAGCAATAGATTTAGTTGCTTGTTTCTTCCATAAGATTATGTTCTTTGATGAGCTACATGGGCATCGTTTCCACAGATGAAATGATAGACATTATTGTTAAAGAGACGGTCCAAATGAGTAGCAAAAACAGGTGGCATGGACATTACTGTGTTGGACTACTCTATGAATCTAGAATCACAGCCCATCTGAAAGGTATATATTGCAGCTTAGTGATCGCCTCATTCTGTTTTAAAGAGGAAATAAAACATTAAGTTGAAGAATAAAAATTGCTGTATTTGAGGAAAAGTGTTATTGCTTTACTGACCAGATGTTGTTATTCCTTTTTTAGAATCATTTTACAACCCGTGTATTAATTCTTTAAAATTGTTGACTCTTAGTAGTGTTTATATCTGTATGACCCTTAGGTGACTCTGAATCTGCCTTTGAGCACAGAGAGAACCCAGGAATGCTTAAAAAGCATCTGCAAATTCTTGGTTTTAAATAATGAATTAAGAACACATCAAATTAAATCCTATGATTGTTTCAGAATGCCTTCAACAAAGGCATGCTTAGCATAGACCCAGAACACACATACTGTAGGCTTCAAATGACAGTGAATATGCAACTCTGCATTCTGAGAAATTAATACTGAATGTGTATGAAGAACAGTAATCATTAAGTCTATATAAATGCACTTCCAGTACAGCTACTCTCTATTTGGGAATGTACGTATTTAGTTCCTAGAGAAAACTAAATATTATGCCTTTTTGCTACTCATTAGAATTACGGTGCTCTTCAGACTTTTGCAGTACAGGTAGTCCTCAACTTAAAACAGTCCATTTAGTGACCGTTCAAAGTTACAATGGCACTGAAAGAAGTGACTTATGACCGTTTTGCAGTTACAACTTTCGCAGCATCCCCATGATCACATGACCAAAATTCAGATGCTTATCAATTGGTTCATACTGATGATCATTGCTGTGTCCCAAGATTATGTGATCCCCTTTTGTGATTATCTAACAAGCAAAGTCAATGGGGAAGCCAGATTCACTTGCCAACCAGGTTACTAAGTAATCAACTGCAATGATTCACTTAATAACTGTGGCAAGAAAGGTCATAAAATGGGGCAAAACTCAATGTCTCACTTAACAACAGAAAACTTGGGCTCAACTGTTGTCATAAATCGAGGATTACCTGTAGCCTTAAATGTGGCTACTTCAACTGGGACCAGAATTGCCTTGCTTGCAATGTGGTTGCAAAGTGCAATACCATGTGACTGTTTTGCTTGGGTGGCAATCCCAGCAGTCCTGGCTGTAGTTGTAACCTCAGAACTGCAGGAAGAGGTGGGAATTCCAGGCAAGAATGGCTGGAGGGGTGCAGATGCCACAGGAAATGTTGTAGGCAGGTGGCAAGAACAGGGTGGAATGAGTGCTGGGGGGGGGGTACCTTGAACAAGCACTATGGCACACATAAAGGGGGCTGTGGAAACGCTACAGCATGTGTGTTGGTTAGTGTTGCAGAATGCTATGGAGTACAAAATCCCTGGGAATTTGTAATCCAGGGGTCAACCTCTAGGCTGCAGCCCAGTACTGGGTAGTGGCCTATTCACAACTGGGCTGTGTAAGCAGTGGGCCAGTGTGCGCACAGCTCAACTTGCTTAAGTTGAGCTGCATGCTGACCCACAACTCATGCAAGTTGAGCTGTGCACATGCGCGTGCACACTGGCCCACCGCTAGTTCCCCTCCCCCAGCGCCAGGCTGCCAAGCCGCAAAGGTTGGGGCCCGCTATTGTAATCCATAGCAAGTCCCTTGGGAGAAAAGTTGGCAAAAGTGACTTGCAACCTTGAGCAGATGGCAAGTGGCGATCACGTGATTCTGGGACCCTGCAACCATTTTACTGCAAGCCAGTTGCCAAATCACGACCACATGATTGTGGAGGTGCTACAATAACTGGAACTTTGAGAACCTATCATAAGTGTCACTCATTCAGCACTGTTATATTTTGCTACATGAGTTCATATGTGAATTCTGCAGCACTTGTTATTTTCACAGTATTGCACTACTTCTATTTTCATAGACAGCAATAATAATAATTTCTACACAAAGAAAAATAATAGAGCCGGGTCTTTTTAGTTAATTTTAAATAGACTTGATACACAGGAAGTGAAGATAGGTGTTGTGGCTTTAAACCTTCCAATTAAATAGAAATTTCTAACTGCTATACCTAACTGCTATACCTGGAGAACATAGCTGGTGCTCCTGATGTTGCCAAGATGCAACTATCGGCATTCTTAATTACTGGCCATGTTGGAAGGCTATGTGGAGAATTGTTTAAAAATTCCTAAAGAGCCATGTCATCAAATTTCTACCCAAAACACCTCCAATATTTATAAGCAGTATATTTTTTTTATATTTTGTATTCAAGTTGAGTATTAGAAAAATGTTAAAGGCGGCGGCTTATAGCACATTTAATTCATTGTGATGATGTTCCATGTTTCATGAACTGGAATCCTGTACCAGATAGTACTGTCGTGCTTTAAAAAAATATTCAGTAGAGATGTTTGGAAAGACAAGCTCACCTTCTTAAAATGCTTGCATCCTTTTACAAGCTTCTTTGACATTTTGAGGGACCCAATACCACAGTCACATCTTTGTTTCTACTGAGCCTTGCCATCTATATAAAAATGTAATTTTATACAGTAAGATTGGCCTTCAGGCATATTTTTCTTCAGGTACTTAGTTGCTATTTAGTACTTTTTGAAAACAGTAATTTATTTTCAAAATCTATTCCATTTTATTAGAACTTATATAAACGACAGTTAACAACCTTGAGTCTTCCCAGTGTTTGGATTTCAGCTCCAAAATTTCCCAAATGTGTCACAAAGTTTAGGCAGTATATCACAAAGCCCATGCAGTTGAATTGCTCCAAGGAGACTCAGGTTCTAGGCCATCTTTATTCACTGAAACTCACTGGGCAACTTTGGGCAACAATTCTCTCAGTCCAACCTATTTCAAAAGGTTGTTTTTGTTCTTGTAAAGCCAAAGGAAAGGAATGCCTATTCTATATTCCTTATGCCGTGCACCTTGAACTCCTGACTAAAGGAGACAGCACAAACATAATAAATAAATACTGGCGGAGCACAGATTAAGGAATAGTGAGCTGGAGAGCATGATTAGTTTGTAAAAAAATATCTCAATTCTCTCACTGGGGAGTGGAGGAGCAATCACCAGAGAAACAGTAAATCAACAGCATGACCTGTCCCTCTTTATCATCCATTAATAAATTGGTAGTGTATTACCAGGCTGCTGATACAAAGTGTTACTGAATTACTACCTATTAGAATACAGAATAAACAAAGAAACTGAAAAATAAGCTTTATCAGAGGCAATGTTAAAAATAAAAAATAAAACTTTATTAAAGAAAAATTCTGTTTCATGCTGATTCAAAACTCTGTTACAGCTTGTCAATTTCAGTGGCAAAGACATTATCATCTTGAATTTTCAGACTGGTTCAGCTTCTTGAGCTCACATCAAGCCACGTAAATTTCTGTCACAAATTTTTCACTTACCCTATATAGGAAGGGAAACATATTATTAGCAGAATATTCAATATCATTTACCAAAATTGTTCCTAAACATTTTTTATTATAACAATCTATGCAGTAGCACAAAGTACCAATAAACAGAATAAAGCATACAGTACTTAAAATGTATTTCCAACTCTAACATACTATTACAGAAGTTAGGAATTTTAAACAGCACTTATGCTTCTTCACAACCTCACTTTGAGGATCTTTTGTTAAACTTAGATAGGCCTCCATGTGAAACCACCTTGTTCATAATATCTAAATAGGATTGGTGGACAAGGCAGAAACTGAACTACCAGTACAGTATGGATTGGATTCGATTGCATAGAGTTTAACAAAACCAGAATCCAGATGGTTCTTCATACAGACATCCAGATTCACATACTGGGTTGCTTAAAACAATACAAAAGGACTGAATTTATGTCACTTTAACAGAGTGTCACAGAGTATTAATAGTTGGCAGCCCAAATATACTTTTAATATATTATCTCTATAACTGTACCATTATAAAGTCTTAAGCAGTATGTCGGCAATTCTATAACAGCATTTGATTATATTTTGAATGTGTGCATGGAGAGACTATAATAGACTTAAAATATGATCAGTTGCCTATCTCAGTTTTACTACAATAAAAATCTTATCATCCAAAAATTGAACATATTTTTGTAAAGAAAACAAAAACCAAAAAACATCACAACAGTTATTACTATGTTAAGAACTGCCAGCATGAGAAAGTGTAAACGAGGACTATATTTGTCAGCTGTGAACAAAAGAACTTTTTAAAAAAAATACGTAAGAATGTTTTGCATATCTTTTAGAGAACAGAAACCTTTGTTCATGTCTTCTGGTTGCCATCATCTTCATTTGAACGGCACCTATAACACAAAGAATAAGTAAACAAGCAACTTTGTTTTGTTTTTTTTAAGGAAAGTTTACAATTTTTGTAGCCATAAGTGTGTGTGTGGGATGTAGCTGCTATTGGAATTGCCATGACAACTGTCTTTATTATTTGGAAGCAGGGACATGGAGAAGACCATCACATTTTATGACATGTGTCATACTGCCACTAGATGCGCAAGGGAGGCTGATAGCATTGTCAAAACAGCATGCCCCTTTACTGTGTGTGCAAAAGTCTATTAAGTAATATATATCTTCATTTCAGTGAAGTTGCTTTCTGTTTCCTGCACAAACAAGAAACATTTTAAATAAGTTGATAATCACATTTACTACTTTTAAGTAACATTAGAGAGAGAGCGTTGAGGTTCAAAATAGATAATATTATCAACTACTGTTGCAATTTGTTGTTCTATTATAGTAGGGAACAGCTCCTAGGAAGCATCCCAGTAGAAAACCAATAGGTTTGGCTGCACTAAATACGACTTCATTTTAAGAACATGCCTTTCGGATTAAAAAAAAAAAAATCCTACTTACAAACTTCAAAATGTTATAAAGCATCTAGGTTTTAGCTAGGCAACATATATGACTCATCTGTTGTATGAACTGCTTTTAATAAAAATATTGGGTTGACAAACATTGATTCAGTTGGGTATCTTCATGATGAACAAACTATTTTTAAGTCGTTGCTAAATGTTTATCTACACATGCTGTCAGAAATAACCTTGTTAGGAAGGTGAAGATGGTGTCTCAGCAAACCAGACCCCCTGGAGTAGGCGTTGAGTGGCCTGTGACTTGCTTTCCTTTGTCTCTCTCAGCA